CGCAAGCACAAAAAAAAAAAGAAAAGAAAAAGAACAACGATCGACCCATCCGCAAATCCCCCCGGATCGAGGCAGCACCTATTGCATTTCTTTCTTCAGTAGTTCGACTGTCGTAAGCAGCGCATGGGCTGAGAAGCTCTCGGTCGGAGTTAATCGGTTAATCCGCCAGACAACGCACTACTCGAGGCCAGAAGCTAGACCAGAAGCACGATCCAATGTCAAGGTTAACGTTAGTCAATGCCACCGGCAAGCGCGCGTGACTGTATCCAGCGTGTTATTTGAGCGGCAGCACGCGCAAATTACATTATTAGAATAGAATAAAACGTAATGCGTTTATTTCACAATTTACAGATTAATGACAACCTAAGTCAAGAAGGCTTGTGTGTGGAAAGCGGCAGTAGCGGCAGTCATGGGCGTACGAACCGGGGGGGGGGGGGGGGGGGGGGGGGGCAAGGGATGTTTCGCCCCCCCTTTGAAACAGCCGCCACTCGGAAGGGCAAACACTGGCCGGCGGCGCCCAAGGGATAACAAGGGCACCGCCTCCGGGCCCTGGGGAGAGGGAAGGGGGGTTGGATGCCCCCCCCCCCCCCACACACACACACACACACACTCAAAAACAAGTTGGTACGTCAAAAAACAAGTTGGTACGCCACTGGCGGCAGTACAGGGGAGAGCAATGTAACGAGAACACATTTTTTACGCTCAACGAAATCGATCAAGTCACACGCTTTTATAATTATGACTTAATCACTTTTTTTTTTTTTCTGAATAAAAATTGTTTGATCGAGTCACACTCGCGCCAGTAGCTTTGTCAGCCATGCACACAGTGTACTTAAAGTACTACTTCAAGTAGGTTTAGGAAACTTGTATTTTACTTGAAGTACACTCTCTGAGCATGTACTTGTACTTTACATAAAGTATTTTTATTTCTGGCACTTTCCGAGGAAAGTACAATTCCTGACTTCAAAGTACATTCTCCAAATTTGATTTTGTTAAATTTGTACCACGAAATGATGCTTTGTCAACTCCAAAGATACACTGGGAGGGATATTCTACTCTCCATGAAGAAACGTGAGCAGACGACGCATCGCTCCGTTTGTTCTAGGGGCGGCTTTCCAGTAGCTTTTTGCACTCTCTCTATTTCTCGGTCGGTCAGCACAAGCGAGGAGGTATAAAATATTGGAATAGCAAAATGAATCATAATGTATCACCTCAGACTGTTGTGCGGAAAAATTTAATTTTCAAGTCCAAGTAAAAAGGGAGTTTTCGTAGACCGCGTTTCCCCCTCCGCTAAGCCCTCCGCAACGAAGCAGCCGCTACTGCGCCGGCGCACCGATGGCCTTGACAGTAGAGTTCCGGCAAGCGTAGCTAGTTGCGGAAAGCGTTGCGGGACAGCGGAAACGGTCTACGAAAACTCCCTAAAGACAACAGAGAATAACGTCAGAATGTTTTGAGACATTAGCGAGTTTTAGTAGACCGTGTTTCTCGCTCCGCTAAGCCCCTCCGCTACCCGGAACTCTACAGCCAAGGCCATCGGCGCGCAGGCGCAGTGGCTATTTCTTCGTAGCGGAGGGCTAGCGGAGCGGGAAACACGGTCTACTAAAACTCCCTATTCTCTTTTGTCTTTTCCTTCGATCCGATCATAGGTGTCACATACTGATTAATTATCACCAGCTTGCTTGCACACTCGTTGTTTTGTTGTTTCTTTTTTTGTTTTTTTTTACTCCTCTATGAGAGGATTGCTTGCGGAAGCTACGGGGCTGACGTCATGCCCTCTCCTTGTACATTTAACCCCTTTGGGTGCAACAATCCAGTGCAAGCGGCGCCAAATTCCGATGAGGGACTTCTGAATTTGGCCCCATTCCTGAAAATAACTTCTCTGTGGCCACTTGACTATCAAATATTCGCCGCTGTTTTTGAAAATAGGTCATGCACCCCTGATTACCCCTGGGCAATGCATACCGGTTAAAAAAAATCACCGTATAGGGGAATTAAAGGGCACCATGAACGATTGTGTTAAAATACTTGTACTTTACTTTGAAAGTACATCGTGTTTATAGTACTTTACTTCAAGTACATTGCACCCAGTGTACTTGCTACTTTACTTGAAGTACATCCCGTCTCATTTACTTTGTACTCTACTTGAAGTACCTTTGAGTTGTACTTTACCCAACACTGCATGCACACCAATGTGAAATCAAACGGGGCACCTTGGGCGATCCTTGCTTTTACTGGTTCACGCGCTCCTCACGCGTACCGATCAAATCGAGGTCGTGCTCGCTTGCAAGAATAAAGGTATCCTCGTTTTGGGTTGCCACAAAAATCCACGGCGGCGTGCAGGAAGCATGCAGACTAAAGCAGACTTGAAGATGCGCATATTGTTCAAGACGGATATTGCTACACAAAAGACAAGCGATGACTCATTGTTCGCGGCCATAAGAGAGTGGCTGACTCCAGTGCACAAAGCTGGATAACAGAAGACAGACACAGTGTGTCGCCCTACCGTAAAGGGCACTTCACCCTGAAGTAGTTGAAAGTGCGAGTGATTTGGCAAACGTGCTGGGGTTTAGGACAGTGAAAGATAGACGTGGGGAAGAGAAAACCAAGCAGAGGTGATCCGCCTGATGTCGAGGGAAGGATCAATCATAAGACTTCCCCCTCCCAGCGATTTGCAGATGCTGCGCGTACCCGATTGCGCAGTGACGCTTCTGTCATACGGTGTTTACGAATGGGGAAACTTTCATCGCAATTAACATGTACATGAGCTGAAATTAACAAACACTGGCTAGATGGTGCTAACATCACCGGATCCTGGGAAAGTAGCGTCATTGCGTTCCTGTTAGCCAGACACAGACATGCTAACATACAGACGACCAAACCTCGCAAGGTGATTGGCTGATCGGCTCAGTTGCTATGGCAATCGCCATTTCGGTCCATTCAAATATTCGAAGCTTCAAAAGAGTCGTTCCGAACCACCTGCGCCAAAATCGCTATGGATCCTCACCGTACTGAAAGCGTTCCTCACCAATATTAGCGTATTTAGCACGGAGCATGCAATCATCTTATCAATCATGCTTATCTTCACAGATATCTTATAAAGGTATTGTTGGTCTCGCGTATTTACAGAGAGGAAAATTATCAGTCAATCCCCCAAACACAGTTGCGCGTGTGGTGGCGGTGCGATGATGTGTGCTTGTTTCGTCGGTGTGTGGATAACAAAATTTCAGTATTCAAGAAACGTCCCTCTAAAGCTACCCGTCCCCACCAAATTTAGATCGGCTCACCCAGAATGAAGAGGTCAAGGAGAAACTGTTAATTCTATGAACCAAACTGGTGACCATGCGGAGAGCGTGGCGTTACGTTCCCAGCATCCCATGACATTAGATGGTGCAAGCAGCCGCTTGATTCAAAGGGTTCAGCCGTATTCATCCATCAAAAATCCCTCGGCGCCTTGTATTTCGTGACGTCGTGAGGCAGAAAACAAGCGAGCCTGGTGGAAGTAAACCTCGAACGTGAGCGAAAAACACCTCGGAGGGTTACGACGTTTGTACCAGACGTCGCACCGCTCGAGTTCACGTTTACTGTGCACACACAGTATAACGTGCAAAAAAAAAAAAAAAGAGAAAAAAAAAGCTTTTGGAGTTATCTGGAGAGTACAGCACGGCCGCGAAAGCGCGGTTTTAGAGAGTGCTTTTCGTGCAAGCATTTTCGGAGCTTGACAGGCGCACCCCTTTCAGGTTCTTCTCGTCGATTGTGCACTGGCTCTGCGGGCGCGTACTCAGTCCGTTGTACGAAGTGACAGCACCCGCTGGCAACGCAAAGCTCTGGCGTACGATCAACGAAAATTCCCTAATGCGTAGAGGTAAACAACGTGCACGTGTCAGCGTCTTTCGCACACAGTACATATGCCACCTATCACGCAGAGTCCCGTTGGCACTGGGAAAAGTGTCCCTGGTCGGGGTCGACCCCTCGGACCGGCCGGACACAACGGGGAATCACGGCAGCCGTGGCAGGAAGGTGACCCGTCGACCGCCCTCAGTCCCCGCGAGCGACTTCCCTCTCATCCGACGGCCAGGGCGGAGCTGGCGGCCAAACCCACGAGCGTCAACAGTGGTCAAACGTCGTTGAACTACACATGGGAATACCTGGCGGCGGAAGCCTCTGGAGCAGGCGCAAAGGCTCCCACGAATGAAGCAAACCGCCGGACGTCAAGACGGTTTCGAAGAATTGTCTACTTCGGGTCTAGCGTCCAGCTGACTAACGTTATCACAGCCTCCGCCGATAGCGCCAGCTGGCTGGAATGCTAGGCGAGGGAGCAAGGACCGCCACGCTCTTCGATGAGTCAGCCGCCTCACCTGCAAGTGCTCGATGGACGAGTTTCGCCAGCACGCGAGCCCGCGTCGCCGACGGTTAATGGAGCGCGCCCGAGCGCACGAGGATGCCAAACCGGACCGAATTGCGTCGAGAACGCACCAGAGACGCGGACGGATCAATGAGTTCGCCCCCTTCTGCGTCCCGTTCGCTCAAACGCTGCAGAAGATTTGAACAACGGAAACGTCACTAACGGCAGTAGCTTTTCGAGCGCCGGGGGTTCTAATCGGGCCTTGGTACCGAGCACCCGCGGAGATCGCCCTCGCGGCAGGACGCGTGCTCGCCTCGGCTTGGTCGTCGACAATCGAGTCAGCTCACGCGGACACCGCCGCGACGTCAAACCAGACCAGGCAAGTCGCGCCACTGAGGAATACCCTTACTCTTGAAAGAAATCGGCGGTCACTACCAGAGGCAGGCGATTACACAACATCCGAGGCGATCGCTCGAGCCAAGTCAGTTGAAGTCCCCGCGAATCGTGTACACCGAACTGCCGAAATTATTTCAGCGCCGAGGTGCTCTGACAACTGCTATTGGGGCCATTTCTTTTTGTTTTGCTTTCCCCGTCGTCGGACAACAGCAGTCCGACCGATGCTTTGTCCAATTGAAGCTAAACGAGCAGTAGGTCTTACCTGGCGTTCCTCCCACGGCGAATGGCGAAAATTCCAGCAGCGTCAAAAGTACTATAACGTTTATATCCCAAACTAACTTGAAACAACCCCTCATCTTGTTCCGCCAACTTCTCAAAGAGACATCGCTGCCATTATTTGGAAAACACTCGGCGGCTGCTGGGCCATCGCTCACCTCCTCGGTTCGGCCCGCTGAAGGAAGGAGCCAGAGGGCGCCACGGCGCCTCCGGATATCGTGTCATGTCGTCACATCCGCCGCTTAGCACTTCCGTAGTTTATCCAGCTGGCGCTCAAGTGGCTGAAGCACCATGAAGCACAAACGGTCTTGCCTGCCTTCGTGTTTCAACTTCAGTGTTCTAGAACGCTCTAGCACAACATGAGTACAACCTCTTGTGCACCTGTAGACGCAGCACTGAAAACGTACGAAACCAGTCCGATTTTTTTGTAGCAGTGGCGCTGCCGGCGTATTTGATTAGGATCAATCAGGCGAGGCCTAGGCCACCTAGGCTCCCTAGGCCCACGTCGTCTGCTAGAGAGGTGGTGTGCGCGACCGGCGGTAGCGTGACGCGGTGACACCGCCCCGTTTTTTTTTTTATCAGCGGCGGCATCGGCTGCTCTGCCAGCGCCCTTGGCCAGCGCGGTGACGATCGTCTGCGCCGTCTGCGCGTGCGGTGTCAGCGGCGCGGCGCTTTCGGCGGTGCCGGTGGCGGCGTAATGCCGGCGTGCTGGTGTGGACTTGTGTGGACCAACACAACACACAGAGTCGCAAACACAGCTCAAACGAGCTGGTGAAGGTTTAACATAATTTAAGACAAGCCGCGGAAAGTGTCTCAAACACAAATATGGTTGGATGGATGGATGGATGGATGAATACGGTTGAGCCCTTTGGATCGGGCGGTAGCTTACGCCACCTAGCCATTTTTCTGGAAAATAGCAGCGCCCCTAGCGGTTGAGGTGCACTCCGGGAGCAGGAGACTGTCAACGGGAAGTTTCGGTTTGCTGGGTTGTGTCGTCTGCTGTCGTCTACACACTGCCATTGCTCCCGCCGTCGTGGATTGCTTCAACGCGCGAAGCAGTAGTACCCTTTTCTTCTCGTCGCTACATATCAGACACAGCAAATAACGAAACAATTACGACTTTGCTGGCACTACGAGGGAACGAAAACGCCGCAACGGCGAAGTCTAATGAACGCAGGTCGACGTAGTGCACCGAACACTGTGCCAGCTCCGCGTGTATTCCTTTACAGCCACGAGAACAGCCACTGAGGCTGCACTGAGGCTAGTACTCAAGTTGTATAATACCCTTGCTACGCCGATCGCTATTTTCAATCAGGCGCGGTACATAACGAACCTCGAGCTGTACGGGAACGCGTTCAAGCACAAACGTGGACTTCTTGCTAGGTTGCTGTGAGGAAATTGGTCACGGGAACAATGGTGATATAAAACTTGAGTACTAGTCTCAGTGGCTGTCTTCGAGGTTGCAAACAAATGCACGCAGTTAGCTGGCACGGCGTTCGGCGCCCGCCGATCTGCGTTTACTGGGCTTCGGCGTTGCGGCGTTTTCGCTCGCTTCCCCGTGCTAGCAAAATCGTAATTGTTTGGTTGTTTCTGTGTCTCGTACGTAGTGACTAGAAGGAAGGGGTACTTCTTGAATCGCGTGTAGTGTAGAGAAACCTGCGACGACGTGAGCAATGGCGGTGCGGAGGCGATAGCAGACGAGAGATACACAACCTGGGGTTCTTGCGCTCTTTTGGGAGCTTCCTATGGGCTCTAGAAAGTTACTTATTAATCTTAATTTTAAGTACAACGAAAAAAAAAAACAAAAAAACGAAGAATAAAGGCCGGTTCTCACATGCAGCGAAGCGCTGATGCAGCGCTGCTCACGTGTTGTCAGCTACTTATCGTCTTGAGCAACAGTTCTGACGGTGCGATACAAAGCTGGTGAACGCTCCCGTCAGCACGCGCCTTGCGCGAGGTCAGCGCCATGCTTGTAGCGCTCCGATACATGTGTGAACACGCCTTAAAGGGGCGGTGCAACAATATTCAATTGAAATGTTTTTCACTTTACACGAGCTTACTGGCACTAATGCGACTCAAGGATACTCGCACGCAAAGCCACTGACCAAGAAACTCTTGTTTGCGCTGTAATTTTGAGGACAAAACCGAGCGTTTTCATTCAATCTCTCCTTCGCAAAACCTGATGACGTAGCTCGGCGGTAGCAGTACCGCCCAGTGACGATATTTGAATGCGGCTCATAGATTGGACCCGAGCGTTGCGTGGGCACTCGATTTCGGCTCGTGATAATCTATAGCTCGAGAAGCATTCGGGTAGTGTCGTGTGTCCAATCGCTGCAATGACGACAACAGCCGAACGATAACAATGCCTGGAACTCAGCGCGTGTCCTGTGCCTTGCCAACCCCAGCGCATGGCTACGATCAACATTGGCGGCATATAATCGCTCCAGATCACGTGACCGCTTGTTCTGGCTGCGAGTTGAGGGGATGAATTCTGATCGTTTTTTCGTTATTTTTTTGTGCGACTTGATTGCGTGTAGTGAAAAACGAACGGGTATTTCACAGGTCATTAACGTCAGGGATCCGTTCTAAGCGGTATTTGCGCAAAATACAAAAATCGTTGCATCGCCCCTTTAAAGGGGTCATGAAACGATTTTCCTACTTCTCCTTAGCTTTAATCCTCAACCCAAATGTGAATTGTGAAATCACGTCCTCGTGACGTTCTTCGGCACCGGTGCGATGACTCCTAGCTTCCACCGTGCTTTTTACGCACACCATAGAACTTGTCATTCGCCAGTGACGATAAGTTCCGTCAGGGCACTCATTGGTCACGAACGCGAATCCAAATATTCGTCGACGGATTGATTGTTGACGAGCGCGTACGTCCGAGTGACGCAGTTCTCGTGTCCAATGCGTGAGCTGGGCTCGGCTGACGTCAGGTTGGCACCGCTGACGCGCTTTGGGAACCGCGGATGTATCATAGTGAAAAGGCAGAGAGCTTTCGAAGGAAAGAAGGTACAAATAGTCCGCTCGGTTTTCAAATGTTCGTGCCGAAAAGCTGGCTTTTTGACTTTGTATCCTCTTCCTTTTTGCCAACTAAACGATAGGCGATTAGTAAAGTCCCAAATTAAAATCATTTATCCCATCCCAAAAATCGTTTCATGGCCCCTTTAACGTTTAGAGCCCATGGAAGCTCCCGAAAGAGCGCAAGCACCACGTGATAGACCTGTGGCGCGCCGGAGCGTTCACACGCCCGGCGGCGCGCCACGCTCAGCGTTCGGCGGCGGCGGTGGGGATTCTGGGGACTTCAGTGGCCGCGTTAAAGAGGCACTGACATGGTATTTATGCTTGCCAAGGTTTTTATTTGTATATGACATATGAGTGCCCAACTACCAGGAACACAATTTGCACCTCGAAATTTGTTTTCTTTCCGCCCGAAAACCGCCGATCCAGAAGTGGCCGGTTTGAGTCGCGCTCACTCTCTTTTCCGTGCTCACGTGCTGTTTGTTATGGTTTAGACACAACCACCAAAGGTAATCAAAGTCGTGGGTCATCGAGGGCACACACTCAATACTAAAAATGGACAAAAAGTATGATACCCATGTTTTGTGGACTCTAAAAAACTGCAAATGCGTTGATTGAAAAACAAAACGTTCCACAGCCACGTGATTTCCGGTATCCTTCTCCTCTTTATTTCTTCTTCCTCTCTGTTGTGTTCATCATGTTTCGTTATCACTTCCTTTTCTTCTCTGTGTTGTCCTATCTGTCATGTTATCATCATTCTGGGATATAATGGAAATGTCTCGTGACATAAAGCAGTCTTCCTGAGAGCTCCGACTGGACTGGTCGTTCTTCACACACGTCCCCATACCCGGGGACTCTACATTCATTTTGGCGACGAGGAGGTCCCTGGGCCTTACCGTTCACCTGGGCAAGCAACGGCTCGGTCTCCGATTTCGTCGGTTGGGCCCCGACGAGTGATCCTGCTGGACAAGCCTTCTTCGTCCCAGCGACAATCAAGATGGCGGCTGAATAGAACGGCCTCCATACAGAGCCACCTCGACAATGGCGTCCGGTGGCCGACTCCCTCCGGAGTTCTTGACAAAGCCGGGTCCTCCGCCCATTCCATGGGAACAGTGGATTCGGATGTTCGAGCGATATTTGTTGGCCGCTGGTGCTCGAGACTACGACCCAGAGCGTCGGCAAGCAACGCTGCTCAACTGTCTCGGCCAGGCCGGTCAGCAAATATTCGACTCCCTACCAGTGCCACAGCTTGCTGTTGAACGGGCGCCAGCAACGTCGGCAACAGCAAGCGGCGGAGATGCTGTCGGTCAACCTGCGACAGACGTCTACTCAGAGACCGTAAGGCTTCTGGAAGCAGAGTTCACGCAACCTACGAACGTAACTCTGCAACAGCTTAAATTTCACAGTCGGAAACAAGAAGAGGGTGAGTCGCTCAAAGACTTCCTGTCGGCGCTTCGAGCACTTGCAATTCCGGCCAACTTCGGAAACCAAACCCAAGAGCAGGTTCGGAAGCAGTTTATGGTTGGCGTCGCGTCGACCGAAATTCAGGAGCGTATGGTTCTGGATGCCGCTCTTCCATTTGACGTGGTCATCCAAACGGTTCTGAACCTTGAACGCTCACGACGTGAGGTGCGAGAATGGGCGTCACTGACAACTCCGCCTGCGAACGCTCAAGCATCTTGTCAGGTTACCACCAGGAATAGGGTCTTTGAAGCAAGATCACCGGCAAGGGAAGACTTTTCATGGCAACGGTCTCTGCCGTCTTCAAGAAATGAGCCACCTCAGGAGGCACAGCGCCGGTACAGTAGTCGTCCTTCCAGGCATCAGCCGGCAGACAGGCGAAGATCGTCCTCCCGCAGCATGCGTGACAGACAGTCCTCGACTGCTCCGTCCTGTACAGCCTGCGGCGGTACCGGTCGCGACCAATCTTATGGAGGTGGACACTCAGGATTCAAACAGTCGTCGGAACGCAGAGTGGTCCACTTTACACTATCAACTTGTTCGCGGCAAGACTTCGCGAGACACCAGTCCCCCCGACGGGACTACACAAGAAGTCATGGGCGCACGTGCTCCAATTGCGGTCACGGCTGGGAACGTTGCCGGAGCTATGACACCTGCCCAGCACGGAACCTAATTTACTGCTACAACTGTGGCCGTCGAGGTCATTTCGGCGATG